ATATATATATATATATAATTTGAAGGGTTATGAGTAATATTTCTCAAGAAGTAGTAGTTGTGGGTCAGTTATTAGTACTGGGGTCAGTACTTGCATTTTTGTAGGTATGTAAAACAGCCAAACAAGAAAAAAAGAAAAAAAAAACTAACATTCTCAGTCTTAAAATATATACAACAAATACCAAACTTGTTTTGTGATGAAAAAAAAATGTTTCCTTTACTATTTTAATGTCAAACTATATTGAAAAATGCTATTTTGTTTTACCTTCAACTTCATAAACAACAAGTTCTTAGTCATCTAATTATATGCTTCAGTGTTTAATGGGATGCCAGTCTTTATTATTTTAAGTCAATAAGAAAACTATAAAATTAATATGCTTACAGTATTTGCAAATGATACAACTTAAAGACAAATCATGACTTTTTTGACTTCAAATAAAAGGGTTTTCACAAGCACATTATGCTAGTAGAATTGAGGRTAACTGTATTCAACACACTCAGCAGTGAAAGCAGAATGGCTACATTAAATCMTTTTATTGATTGGTTCATTCTATTATTTGTAAGGAAATTTGACRGAATGAAGCAAGGAATGGGGAAATTATGCATGCATATTTGAAACTGTACAGATAAAAAAATGAATTTTCACACTCACTTACATGTTAGTTTGTTGTTTTGAAAATAATGTATCAGAAAATGTTTCTTTCAAGGTATATTAAAGCATTGTAAATACATAGGAAGAAGCCAAAATCAAATTTTGGAAAACATATTACATATTTTCTACTATATAGTAGATTGTTTTGTTTGTTTGTTTTGTTTTATTGTACACACGACAAAAAAATAAAAATAAAAAAATTAAAAAACAACAGAAGACAGCTTGTTTCTTTCTTAGTGCAACATACCACAACAATTCAGTTGCAACATGTTCTTGTCTTTTGGATGATCACTTGTGTTCTTATTTGTCTACTCAAATGAGCCATTCAATCATAAAAGTCAAAATTCTGTATTAATTAACTGTATTTTTTTGTCTCCACAGGTAAGCAGTAGGATGGTGTCAGGGGAGGCAGGAGGGCACAGATACTTGGTGGTATGCTGGCAGCCCATTCTGATCCTGATGCTAGGCACCGTCCTTTCAGGCTCCACCACCGGCTGCCCTTCAAAATGTGACTGCAATGCCCAGGAACGTTCAGTTGTGTGCCATCGACGAAGACTGGCAGCCCTTCCTGAGGGCATCCCCACTGAGACAAGACTGTTAGACCTCAGCAAAAATCGTTTGAAGTCACTGGGGCCTGAGGAGTTCATTAATTACCCTCAGCTGGAGGAGCTGCAACTCAACGAAAACACTATTTCATCCATCGAGCCTGGGGCTTTCGGCAACTTGATGAACCTTCGAACTCTAGGTTTGCGCAACAACCAGCTGAAGCTCATTCAACTTGGGGTTTTTACAGGCCTGACCAACCTCACACAGCTGGATATAAGTGAGAACAAAATTGTCATTTTGCTTGATAATACGTTCCAAGARCTGTACAACCTGAGGGCTTTGGAAGTTGGTGACAATGACCTAGTCTTCATATCACATCGGTCGTTTCATGGTCTCAGCAACCTTGAAAGCCTAGATATAGAGGGATACAAACTAGCCTCAGTTCCCACTGATGCCCTTAGCCATCTYCATAACCTGTTGTCACTTCGATTACGTTATCTGAATGTCACTGTCGTAAGGGATTACTCCTTTAAAAGGTTGTATCGACTGAGAGCACTTGAAATTTCTCATATGTCTGCCCTGGAAACCATGACACCAAAATGCTTGTTTGGACTCAACCTCACATCATTGTCCATCACAAACTGTAATCTCACTGTCATCCCCTACGAAGCCATCAATCACCTCAGATWTCTTCGGTTTTTAAATCTATCCTTCAACCCCATTCATACTGTGGAAGGGAACCAGTTGTTCAGTCTACAGAAGCTTCAGGCTTTTCATCTAGCTGGTGGGAGATTGGTTTCCATTGAGCATTACTCTTTCAGAGGACTCAATCATCTTCGTGTTCTTAATGTGTCAAGCAATAGCTTGAGCACCCTTGAGGAATCTGTTTTTCACTCAGTGGGGAATCTGGAAACCCTGGCTTTGTTTGACAACCCCTTAGCCTGCGACTGCCGCTTACTGTGGGTCTTCCGTCGGCGATGGAGGCTCAACTTTAACAAACAGCAGCCCATTTGTGCATCACCCGAGGTTGTACAGGGAAAAGAGTTCAAAGATTTTCCAGACATACTCCCTCCTGATTACTTCACCTGCCAGAAATCAAAGATTGTGGATTACAAAGTACAAGAAAGCCATGTAGATGAAGGAACTACAGTTTATTTTTCTTGCCAGGCTGAAGGTAATCCAGCTCCAGTGATAATGTGGTTTTCCCCTAAGAAGGAATACATAACTACAAAGACTATGGGGTCAAGACTTTCTGTGTCTACTGAGGGTACTCTGGAGGTGCGTTATGCCCAAATTCAGGACAATGGCACCTATGTGTGCATTGCCAGTAATGCAGCAGGCAATGACACAAAATCTGCTCACCTTTTTGTGCACAGCTACTCTCCCAATTGGCCCCACCAGCCAAACAAGACATTTGCTTTTATTTCCAACCAGCCAAGCGATGAAGGTGCTAATGTGACTCGAGCAACAGTTCCATTTCCATTTGATGTGAAAACACTTGTTGTTGCAACCACAATGGGATTTATTTCTTTTCTTGGAGTGGTCCTCTTTTGTCTCATAATATTATTCCTCTGGAGTAGAGGGAAAGACAATACCAAGTCAAGTATTGAGGTTGAATATGTGCCACGAAAGGAGGAAACAGAGGAGGCCAGTCCAACTGAAGCACCTGTACAATTCAACATGAAAATCATGTGAACCCCAAAAGGAGCTTATGTAAGATTACAAACTGCAGCTGGGAGGCCTACTTTCCTTGTCTAAAACATGTAATCAGTTTATGAGTGATAGCACAGCAGCAAGTGCATTTTGAAATTATACCCTTGACATTTTTTTTTTTTACTTCAGGGACTAAATCTTTCAAGCAAATGTTTAACAATGGTTCAGAATACAATATGTGTATGTATTGTACAGTATGTTAACATGCACTCAACAACCAGATTTGTGTATGGAATCAAACACAGGTTGCATATGAATAAAGCACATTACAGTACATGATGAAGGGGTTACTATTGATGAGAGTTTGAAAATGTTTTTTATGGATGAAGCTGATGGCTCTGCTCTTGACTGGAATACAACAATCAAAGTACACGCCCTCCCCATACTCTTAAGAAAATGACATTTATAACATAAATAGTATTACTTTTAGATAAATCAATAGGGAATTGTGACCATGGTTTTTGCTAAATGATCCACTTTTGAGAAAAGTTCACACACAGTTCAAAGGCAGGAGGTTTCATAAAAAGGTTACAGAGGAAATAATAGAATGTTCAGAATGGTGTAATATTAGATCTTGGAAAACAAACTTGCATCTTCTTTGTGAAATTTATAAAAAATACTTAGTGAGCAGTGGCCTTTCTGCTATTTTCCATTAATAAAAAATGTGTTATGATTTTCCTTTTTTCTTTATTCCCTGATGGTGTTCTTTAGTAATCAAAAAAAAAAAAAAAACTTCAAATATAAGCCTTTCCAAAGGTTCCTACAGGCAGTCATTTGTTACATTAATTTCAAGCTCACTGTATCCACAAATTCATAACTGGACTAAATCCCTAACTGGATTATGGGAAATTTTGAAGTGTGCATGTTATCACACTGCATTTAAAAAAGTCAGTTTCTGCTCCTTTTAACCAGCAAAGGTTTGTCATTAAATGTATTTTAAATGTTACAATATTTTTTTTTTCTGTGTTTCAATGTTCCATGTACATTAYGTTATGATCCAATAGCAATGCTTTTGATAGCTATGGATTTTGAGTATATTGCAATCCAAAGAGCAAATCAAATATTCAGTAAACATGTTTTTGATGTAACTAAACTGAAAGACAATGTTACTGTTTGTCACAGTGCATAACAACACCCTTAAGTAATGCTATACAGTACATGAAACATTTACACAATTGATTTCATAACACATCCWACAGCTGAATAAATTGCAAACCTTCTCAAAATTATAGTCATAATGTCACAATATAATCTATATTTGTGTCGTTAACCACATTTTTCTATTTAGAAAGATGCCATCTTTATATGTAAAAAAGGGAATTTTAAGTCTGATGAGGAATTTTTGTTTGTTTCAATTATTTTTTGTTTATTTTTTTTATTTTAAGTTAGTTCAAAAAATTCTACAGTTAAGAAATGTTAACAAAATGTGCTTGTACTCTGAATTATATTTGTTTAAAATGAATGGACAACTAGAAAGTTGGAGAAAACACACGTAAATACTATACTAGAGGGAATTTATATCAAGTCAATAGAGATCAATGATCTCTTGAGCTGGATTAGTCTTCACTGAACTAATAACAGCAAACTTTAAATGCCTCTGAAATTAGTATTTGTGTAGTCCGTTTGATTTTCCACACATTCCTAGATTGTTTTGTTTGCATCACTTGCACATCCAGTTTCCAAAACTATGAAAACATGTATTTTGTTTTAGGTAGAATCACTTCAGACTATTGTATCCTAACTTTGTCAAAACTAACTCTCTTTAAGCCGCTTATGTCATTCTTCCCTTCACTGCGACCTAATGCTAAAGATTATTACTAGTATTGTTAATGTCCACAACCCCACATTATTAAACATGATGTGTTTGGAGGCCATTGTGTGAAAAGAAATCACATGGAGCCTTGCAAATTAACATTTGATTGTTTTAATTTTTCATGTACCTAAAAATTGAAAAACTACCACACTGAACTTAAGTTTTAACTTTTTTTTCATTACATTTCCCATTATTCAAAGTATCGAACGTCAAACAGTAAAAATATTAACAATAATATTAATAATTATATAAAATATGCAGTTTTTATTCTCAGTAAAACAATGCAGAACAACAACAAAACCTATGCGGTGAAAAACAGACTGGTGTGTTAGTGAAGAATAAAATAACAAATGCATAATACTGGGAATAAACAGTTTACCTCAGAAGGTATACATTTTAATGACACCATGTCACATTGTGAAGATACTTGTCTGCTCAAAATTACAACAATGGATTACAAATTTGTCATTTGTTTGCTTGCAGAAAGATTTTGAAAAAAATAATAAAAATAAAAAAACAATACTTTTACTGCTATGAATTCAAGTGACAAAATGCAGGAGAAGCCAGCAATGATGCTTCCAACCTGCCCAGGGCTACACAACGCTTGTMTTTGGGAACCTTGTCTGAATGGGTAAGTAAAAAAAAAAGAAAAAATTAAAAAAGATACTTTCATATATATTTTGGAACTGAAAGCTGTGTTGCTGCCCACCAGCCATCTGTGATGCTTTGTGCTGAGTCTGTCACTGATCACAAACTGATTCAGTACTTGTGAACCCAATCAGAGCCTTTTTGTTTTTACGGTGAGGCATTAATGTTCTCAAAGACAGCTCGAGTGGGGAGCAAATTGTTACATCACTATGGGTTTAGTCTTCTTAGAAAGTTTGGCCAAACAAACAAATACAAATTATAGAGGAGAGGTAATCCATAGTGGTCAAAATTCTCTAGGATTATTATCAATCTATTAGTTAACAGGATTACCAAACAAAGTTAAAGTTTAAGTTATAACAAACAATAGTAAACCAAAAAAACATCAATCAGGGCAAGTTTATAATGTGTTGGCATAGTTGTATTATAAAAATGAATGAATCAGCAGGCAAGGTTCATCTTAAACGCAGATGCACACTGACCAGTGATTCCAGCCTAATACTAATTGAAAGAGTCAGACTCATGTTTTTACAACTTTAATGTTGTATAGCAGTGGGAAAAAGCAAATGCATCCCACACKTACTGTTGATATAAAACTTTAATGCAGAAAGATTAAGTTGTTAATATTCTACCATTGCCATAGAGTTACTATACCCGTTTTATTTTTTTTTTTTTTTTCATTTTTTATTTATACTTTCAGGGAAAACCGGTGGCATTGCTTCCTTACAGTAAGGTCTCAGATTCAAACCTCATCTACAGTAAATGTCTCTCATATTAGTAAGAAACCACACAGTAAAATTGAAAATCAATTTCACAATGTATACCAACATGATATWGTTTGCTTGCTGTCTTGCTGACATCTCCATCAAAAACAAGACACTGGCTTTAAGCATTGTCTTTTTTTTCCACCTTTGATAAACCAAAAGCTAAATTGTTTATCTTCTGTGGCCGAGATAAAAATGAATTCCAGATCTGCTCTCTATTGTGGCTGCATTAGAAGTGTAATAGACACACTGGATGGCTTCCAGTTGATACGCTGTACCAGAAGAAAGGGGGGAATTTTATTTATGCTTCAATTTCATGCAAGACAAACTTGCAGGCCACACTTTATAGAATTACAACTACACACTGGATTGTAAAAAGACACAAGCAGTAAACAGCCAGACATCACTGAAGCAAGTAATCACTGAAACTTTCAAATCGGTTTTCTAATAATTCCCGGGTAGAGAAGCAGATACAGGAATGAACTGTTTTATTTAGTGCCAGTGATGAATAAACGATTGGTAGCAAAGTTGCAGAAAAACTGATTAAGGTATAGTAAATTATTTTTGTTTGTTTTGTTTTGCTTTGCTTTTTAGCCACGACTTAAAGAAAATGTGAGAAATGAGAAATGATCCCAAGTTTGACCAAAATGATTAACTGTTAGTGACCTTGGAAGCCAATTACCGAATAATGTGGTCAGTCAATGAAAAACAACTGTTTTATTACATTTCACTATAGTTTAAGGGAGAGAAATAGGACTAATAACTAATCTAAAGTGAGTGAACTGAATGGACTCCGTAATGAGTTAGGAAGTTGGGTTTGGACCTGGAAATATTCCAGTTAAAAAGTCTTGCTCCTGATATTGTTCCTAGACATTTAAGGTTAAGTATTTAAAACAAATATATTTAAGTATTTTGCCAGTASCAACTACCTCTGATAACACTCCTTACAGATGAAGGTGGTGCTGCACTGTTATAGTGTCAGGAGGGTATGATGTACTGTGGCTTCAACAGCTCTAAAAGATGGCAAACTTGGTGGGAACTACGCAAATTGCAAATATCGCAAGTACCCATCTATTCTGCAGTCATGTTATCACAACATCTCAGTGTTTTATGGCAGCTGTGTTACAGTGTGGCTGTAGGAAAACCATAGATCTGGAGTGTCAAACTTAWTTACACAAGCACTATGGAGGCCCTAAGTGGGTCAGCTGTAATTTACTTCAATGTTTCATGTTCAACTTTGACTAAACATGCAAAGTCACATGCCTTGTTTTATTGCTACGGCTGAGCACCTCTGACAAACAATAACTGAACTATTTAAGGTATTTTGTGCATTGAAACAGTGTTTTAACACTTCCTTTTATAAACATTGAAAACTACTATGTGTACAACTGACTAAATGTGAAATAAATACTACAGACATACTATTAAACGTAAAAATAAGAGAGTTTTAGTTGCTGTAGAGTTGTGTAGCTGCCATCTTGAATTCTAAACTCTCCCAATTTCTGATGGGGAATTCCCATTAGCGGGATGTTCTTGTTTACATTTACAACCAGTACAACTGGCTGCAGCAAAAGTAGCCAGCAAAAATCAGTGCTGCTGATTAACACGGTAATTGTGTGCACTTCTACCTTGTGGGTAAAATTGACATGCATTATGGGAGATGCAGCTTTTGGTCAGTGCTGGCTTTAAAGCAGCATCTGCTTTTTTAACGACATAAAGACATGTGAAACTCTTGCAGGCCATATAAAATGTTGTCAGGCCACATTTGGCCCTCAGGCCTTGAGTTTGATATGTGGCATAGATAGAAGGCTAATAAGACATTGGGAGCAAAGTGTGGTACAAATAAATGGAAAATGTCCTGATTGGGATCTTGATTCAACACTTTGAGATCAAACATCAAACCTTTTAACAAGGAATACAGAAGGAGACGGATCAGATTTATCCACCAGCTTACATAAAACTTAAGGGACTGACATGGATGAAATGGAATGGAGACAAATGCATTTTTATCTACTGCTTAATMTTTTTTTGGTTCAGTCAAACCATTCATAATAAATAACCAATGCAGCAAATCCTAAAGTGTTTGAAAGTGTGTACATATACAACAACATAAATAATTTCAGCCACTACATAATTTAAAAACTGCCTTTGAGCATATTGCCATTAATGGCTTCTCTCACTCAACACATGCTAATGTTGTAACAGTGGTTAGTAGAAGCTGTAGAGTCATCACACTACATTTTTTTTTAAATTGCAGGCTATAGTTCTCTAAATGTTGGTTATAAACTCATAATGAAGTTTTTAGTACGACACATATTATAGACACTTAAAGTACAGTTTTTAAATTAAATATTGCTGAGACAGCAAGTTTCTCAGAGAATCTGTGCTCAACAGTGCAGCCTAGGTGGAGGAGTTAAACACACACACACACACACACACACACACACACACACACA